GTAATTTCCAATAAGTTCAAATGTGGATCGGTTGTTTTAGTTTGTTTAGTGTAGCTTAAATAAAAAACAGAAGGTAATTTTGTCATTGGACTCTATTCCCACATTTTTAGATAAAGTTAATGCTATCTTCAAATTATTATGATTATTATTTCCTTCATATTGTAAATATTACAAAAGTACAAAATATCACTTGTCTATAGAAAAAATTTGTGGGGTGACCAGTTTGCATCTTTTGACCTTTATTTTGCACTCTGTTGGATCTCCAAAATTATTATAACAGTAATAGAACATTTATTAGAATATATTCTGAAATTGTCTTTTAATAATTTGTCTGAATTCGGTAAACTGTTATATCCTGTTTGGATATTTCATTCCAAGAATTAGATGAGAGATTGACTCTTAATTGAATGTGGTAGAGTCAAAAATAAATGAAACTTTTAATATAACCATCATCAAGTTAATAGTAAAAGTTATTACAGACATCTTCAAAATAAACACTCCTAATGTCCATATGTACAATTGTCAAAGCAGTCTTGGAAGTCATTTATGATGTCATTAATGGCTCTAGTAGCCGTTGCTTTTGTCACTCGCTTTTGGTCAGCAAATTTTGGCCTAGAAAAGCTTTATCGATCTTCTTGCTCTCATTTTTATCCTTGCAGACTTTTATCTTTTCCATAAACTTAGAAATCGAAGAGATGCAGATTCCTATAAGTAGCAAAATGGAAGCCATAGCAAAAAAAGCCATTATAGACATCACAAAAAAATGCTTCAATACAAGACCATTAGAGTATTATGTCGGCTCTTAAGGAGGGGATATGTTTATATTGGACGATTGCTGTTGACGGGGTGAGAAGTAAGGAAGGTCTTTGATATAAAATTGTTTATTTTTATCCCTGGTTATCACAAAACTATCTGAAAATAATTCCTGTATATTCGTGAATGGTTTTAATTTCTGGTGTGACAACACAAGAGGGGGTACCTTGATTCCTGATGCATGATTTTGATGGGGAATCAAAAAGGGGAAAATTTTTGCTGGCATAATACCTGACAGTCCTAAATGGTATAGACCTGGCAGAAACATAAATGCCAAATGAACTTACTATAAGAATGTGTGTGCCAAAAGTTTAACTTATTTTTGTTAAATTATTAAACCATAGCCCCATTACTTTTCTTTCTTGAATAGTTTTTCTCTGTTCAAAATAAGTTCCAAAGTGTGTTTCTGTAATTTTTTTTAAGGGACAAGTTTATTGTTTAAAATTTATAGTGCAATGATATTTAATTCATTAATGTTTAGCCAGTTGCTTTGAGAAAATTATCAGACATCCTAAAAATTATATATATAATTAGTGATATTTAGCTATCAGATATAAATTCATCTTGTAAAAAGCTTTATATAATAAACTAATAAATTTCATATTAACACAGATTGTCAAAATAGTCTTTAATAGAAATTAATGTTTGTGAGTGTCCATTTTTACTAGTGAGAACTGCCATCAATCTATATTATGAGTGGAAATTAACTGTCATTTAAAAAACTGTCTGTCTATAAAATTTTAAAATAATTTACACTAATGAGAACTTGTGATTTGATATTTCCTTTTATGGGAAGCGTATTTTTCTGTTCTATTTTCTATTGCTCTTGATCTGGCAATAAGTAGTAAGGAATGAAATAGAAACGATTATACGATTGCTTGTAGTATAAGCTTACCAAACACAATTATAATCATCTCTTCGTTATGCAAAAGATGTGTTTAAAAAACCAATCTGCCATGATCTATAGAGTATTTGAAAAGTCTCTATGATGAGTATTTTAAGATGCGCTTAGATGGAAATCAATAATTTACTCATGTAACTATGTTAAAAGTTGCTTGTGTTGTCCTCGACCAAAAAATGTACATTCTTCGACGGTTCGCATCTTTCTGTGCAACTAATGCAGACATGCCAAACTGAGGCATCATGCATGCAAAAATACAGTAGACCACCTATGTATGGCTGTGAAATAGTGGAGCTGACACAATGTCAGTTGGTGTACAAGTACTGCCTAAAATTTACAATCCCCACTGTGAGACTTTTTAAACACCCTGTATAAGCAAATTTTAAATCTTAGCCCATTTTCTCGGGCTCTAATTAAACTAATTTTTAACTGGTTAAATTACTAATCTGTACCAAAGGTAGATGGTTAAGTTAGATTGGTGGTTCTCAATCCAGTATATATATTGTGGCTACCAAGAGCAATGTGCCACGAAATAAATTAAAATCTATCAAATTCTTTTTGCATGATCGATTTCCCATAACCTCCATAATTTTCATCTTGTTTTAAACTTAATTTGACATAGTTCACAAGCATTTTTAATTGATTAAAACACAAAACAAAACATTTTTTGATTCTTAAACACTATGTAGTGTAATAAATTCTAACACTTGGCATTCTATCATCTTTATTTAGTTCAGTTGATACGTGTTTAAAATACACATTTCGGGTGTAACACGCCCCTCTTCAGCCAACTAAAATTATATCAAAAAATACATACAGTACGTAAAAGGTTAAAAAATTTATACAAGTAGTAAAGATATTTTAGAACATACCTCGGGATTATTTATAAACTGGGTATCATGGATGAATACATATTTATACAACTTACACATTTATTGTCTATCTATTTAAATATAAATATTATTTAAATCCAGTTTATAAATAATCCCGAGGTATGTNAGTTAGACAATAAATGTGTAAGCTGTATAAATATGTATTCATCCATGATACTCAGTTTATAAATAATCCCGAGGTATGTTCTAAAATATATTTACCACTTGTATATATTTTTTAACCTTTTACGTACTGTATGTATTTTTTTTATATAATTTTAGTTTGCTGATGAGGGGCATGTTACACCTGAAATGTGTATTTTAAACACATATCAACTGAACTAAATAAAGATGATAGAACGCCAAGTGTTTGAATTTATTACACTACATAGTGTTTAAGAATCAAAGAGTCACAACACGGTTTCAGATTATCAAAAACGAAACAATTATTCTATAATAGGCAGTGAGGTTGTTTAAGTATAGCTAGTTTCCTTTAGTGGATGATTAGAAATGGCCACATTCTTTTTGTGTAATAAATTTGAAATAATTTGTGACTTTTGTTGAAAGTTCTTGGTGTTTCAAAATAATTCATTATTGTGGTTAGTTATTTGCCGTGACCATAAATGAGTGAAAGGAAAAAATTGGCAATTATTTACATACATGGCTGGGAGTTCTCACCTGAGTAAACACAAAATGGAAAATTGAGTGTTTTTCATTGTCTTCTATTTCACTTAATGTTGAATTGAAAAGTTAATTAAATTAGAAGAGATTTCAGCTTAAAAAAAAAAGGGAATGATTTCCACCAGTATGGCTAATATAGATAGCATATGTAAGAGTTTAGCCAAAAGTTGTTCTGTGATCAATCCTTTGGCCGGTTCTGATATATTTAATAACAATGTGTATTGCAACCTCTGCATAATAAGTCGTGTGTCAAGGATTTTGGAAGCATTTTTCTTCATAATTTCTTACTTTGACGACAACTCTCTTTCTTGTTCCTTAACTAGTTTGATTCAGACGCAGATTGCCTTTAATTTTGATTTACTTTTCCCATCTTAATGTTGCTGTTTTGACGATTCTGTCAATCAGAAGACAATCTCTTTCTTCATTTGGTGTTCTCTGAAAAAGCAAGATATTTGTTCCAATTTGATTGTGTAGAACATAATTAATAGCTTGCTGAACCATCAGTATTGTAATTTTTCAAAATACAAGTCAAACTGCAAAAGACTTGCCAAACTTTTATTGCATTAATTAGTGCATATATTTAAAGATGATCATATTTGTACCAGCTGTTAGCAGTCCTGCTGCACGCACCCATTCTGCATTACTTTCTTTGGTTTGATTGTCATAGTATCTTTGCTTCAGCTGCAAAGTTGCAGATTCAAATATGCAGAACATTTATTTTGACAAATGTGAAAGGAAGATCCGGCAAGTACTGAGACTGTGGAAGTACGGGTATTTGGTGTTTTGCTGGATATTCGCTAACTATGAGTGCAAGATGTGGTGTACCATGACAGAGAATGTGACTTTTTGCTTGCCAGAGACTAAACCATTTTTGGCTTACTTTGTCAGAAGGAGACTGAGAATGCCAATATAGGACACCTCGTTAACCAGTCTACCATGAAACAGACTTGTAATGCACTGGGCCTTTTGCACCAAAGAATGCCACAACGGGGCAAAAAGACACTTGCAGCAATTGCATTCAAGGATACCGCAGAACGAGTAAGACTGTCGGTAGACATGTATAGCGGCAGAAGCTTATTTTGAAGGTCTTGTATAAATACACCATTAACTTGACAGTGTTGCATTAATGGTTTATTTTCAACTACTGCATATTGCAGTATGCTACTCTCTCTGTAATGCTACAAATTTGTACCAAGGAGGAGAGGTACAGTATAATCAACAATATTAAGAAGGGCCATCATTTAAAGTAATGCCAATAATACGTATACAATGACGTTAATTACTGTTAATTACTAGAGGCAAGTCAATTATTATTTTTGTGATCAATCATTTTATCTTTTACTTGCAAATGTTCACAGTCATTTACAACTTAGATTCGTTGCATGATGCATATACTTGTGCCCTGCAAAATTTATTTGCCAGTCACTTTATTTCATACATACTGTTTTGAATTTTTGTTTTGTCCAAAAATATTATACATACATTGAAATTTAGACTGTTTAGTATTGGAAAAAACATTTAATTAGTTGATTATAGTATTAACAAATTCAATCTAAAGTAATTCTAGTCTTTTATAATGAGTAGAGCATATAACTCTTAGTATTTCTAAAAAATTCCTAAAATATTAATAACTTTCAGGTCTGTTTAGAAACTTATCGTTATGTAAAATTTAGAAATAGTGCTGCATTTTGAGAAGTAATTAGAGAATTAAAGTTTCTTACTTTTACTTTTAGCCGTGATTCAACAGCCCACTTTCGTTCAGCCTTTTAACCAGGGATTTGCAATCTCCAAGGGAATTAACATGAAGAACAGACTTCGATCTCCTAAGATAGGTGCTCCTAGAGTGGCGTACGAAGGTTGTCCTGGTAATCGTACGGGTGAGTTTTATTTTTATTTGCAATGCGTGTTTTCTGTTTTAAGTTCTAAACTTTCCTAATTGCCTCAGAAGAAATGTAAATAGAGACTGTTCATTATCTTAAATAAGGAATTTTACCAATGAAGATGGTGTTTATGTAATTTAGGTCTTTGGTCCCTTGTTTGATATCCAGGATGATCTTCTCATAGCAACAATGGTTTTTCTCCAAAACTAGGATAGATATGAAAAGTGAAGGAGTTTGACATATTACAAAATTTTGCACAAATTTCACAAATGTAGCCACCATAAACCTGTCATGCGGTGAAGTCAAAACCATTGAAGATTAGGAAGCATAACACTCAACTTCCATAAAACTTTTGTGGATTACAAGGCATGATGATGATGACTCATCTTATTGACGTTTTTCAAAAATATTGTGTAGAAGAAAAGTTTGCTCTTGGTGGTTACTATGTGTCTCGAAAGAAGCGAGGGAAAAATGCTTAGAATATGTGGGAGATTACTTTGAAAGAGTGCAGTGAAGCATAGACAGTAAGATTAGTCTTTGCTGTTAAATTAACATGGCTCCATAACTATCACACTCTAGGAAAGGCACAGTGGCTACAAATCAGAAATTAATTTTTGTCGATGAATGCCCATCCATTTAAAAGTACTTTCACCACCATTAAACCATTTAATGGAGGAGTACATGAGGGACTAGTATAAGGCAAAGACTTATACTATAGTTCCTCATTAACTGTTTGCCATTAAAGGTGGGTTTTGTGCAAATATTTGGGTAGCTTTGCTGCTTCGAACTGCATGATATTCTTGGACAGATCCTGGCAGTTCTGGCGAGATGTCGCCAGCTGACATCATTGTGTTATTACTATTGTGTGTATCAGTTTATAAAATTTTTGAGACAGGTTTGAATGTAAATTTTTAGCTTTTGAGATTTAAAAAATAGTTGCCATGACTTATTTTATTTGATGATCATTTTTGAAATTCCTGAAAATTATGCAAACACAGAAATTTTGAAAATTTCTCTGCACAATTGCATATCCAAAAAGGTTTATTATTGGTTAGGAAGTTTTATATGAAGCAAGTTGAACATTTTATTGAGTATATGAAGTAATTTTGACTTTTTAAAAAGATTTATATGAAGGGTGTTGAAGAGTTCCCAGAAAGTGATTTATTATCCACATAGCATTCTGTTTATGAATATTTATGATTAATTGATGCTAGTGTAAACTTGTTGAGATTTGTGTTATCGGGTGTTTGCAACAGTGCTGCACAGTAGTCGTACGTGATGTTATATCAATCTGAAATTACCTTGTATCTGCAAACGTGGACACTGTTAAATATGAAATGCATTCTGCAAAATCTACCAAGATGGTAGTGCGTGAATGCCGATGAGTAAAATCTCTGTAGATCCATCAGACAAAGGTCTTCTTTAATTAAAATTTGGGAATGGAAAAAAAACACACATTCACTTGGCATTTACTGGAAGTCAAACATTTTGTAGTGCAGTGGCTAGAATCACAGAACAGATTTCTACCAGTGTTTGCTAAATTCAATTTGCATCAATTATTTTTCATTTTCTGAGAACTTTTTGAACACCCCCATATTTAAAACTTTCTTTTAAAAAATTAAACTTGTGACTAATAAATTTTTTATAATAAAGGAAACAATGGTCAAATCCAACTTTGGCAGTTCCTGCTAGAGTTGTTGACGGACAAGGATCAGCGCGAGTACATTCAATGGGTCGGAGATGATGGCGAATTCAAACTGAACAATCCCGAAATGGTGGCCCATCTCTGGGGTCAACGGAAGAATAAACCTACCATGAACTACGAAAAGCTGAGCAGAGCGTTGAGATATTATTACGATGGAGACATGATTGCCAAGGTGTGTCTCTCGTTCAAATTTCTTTAAAATTTGAAACGTTTTCCACTTGATCTTAACTTCGTGAATATTAATTATTAATAAAATTTGTTGACAGGTTCATGGAAAAAGATTTGTATATAAATTTGTTTGCGACTTGAAGAGTCTGTTGGGATATGACGCAGCAGAACTGAACAGACTGGTGATGGAGAGCGAACAGAAGAAACTGGAGAAAATTCAAAACACCATAGTGCCATTTTCAACCGTCGAAGTCACGGCTCTGGGAGCATCCTCCCAGTCGATCGACGGCAAATCAGACTCCTGATGTCTCTGACGTTGTACATATGTACAGACTCGGTTGTTACATCCTGTTATTCTATAGAATAATTTTTACATATTCAAATCTCCAAGAGTTAATAGAGCATTTGAACTTTCTAGACGATCGATTTATAATGTTAAGAATCTTTAAAAGAAACTTAAATGCAAGTTCTCCTTGGGACCACCTCTGATCGAGGAGTGCGGACTGAAACGTATCGCACCTTTTAATCGATCCTCGAAATTCGAGGAAAAAGCTACGGGACTAACGCATAAATCCTAGTATGCATGGGAGTCGGTTTGTGTTTTATCGTTAACTTAGCGAGAGAGAGACCATTTGTCATTATTTTCTTCTTAGAATTGTTTTGTTACGTTGTTGAAAAACTCTGAGAGGCGCAGGGTCGACTTCGCGGTCTGTCAGCCCAAAGCCGTAATCAAACCGTATACTACACAGACTATATTCAACAAAATATAGTAGATTTTTTATAAATTTATAAGATTAGCACTTTATCCACTATATATATTTTTGATCTCTAAAAAGAAGAGAGTTGATTTGTTGTGAAAAAATACCATACTTTCATATTTGGACACGCTGCCTTTTCAGAATTGCCAAGATAGGCTCGCTTACCGAAAGAGTGATCTCAGCATAGATTTATGATATAGATATTTTGCCAATTATTCCGATGGATTTTACAAGGCATAATTTTCGGAGCGTATATTCATGTTAAAGAGATACGAACATAGTGAGTAATGTTCTTCACATGCTCATTTCTATTAAACATATTGGAATAAATGTATGCTGGTTTAATTTTGTAGATTTTGATTTTACTTATGTCTTGTGTGTTGCACCCGCAAATTTAATAACCATAGTGTAATTGTTGACTTGCATGCTGGAGTTTCTAACATGGAAAATCTTAATGTTCCGAAACCCGGCACTAGTTGAAAGTCAAACTGGTAAGAACATACAAACGAACTATAAAGGTGAGTAATTTTGTGTGATTAATATTCTTTACAAATTACTTTCTAAATTTTCTTTTGCAACATTAAAATTAAAACCATGTATTTGCATTGCACATAATGTCAACTGTTTATTCAGAAGAGCACTCTGTGCAGGCTCTATTTGTGATTCAACAATCACAAAAATGATTTACATACCCTCAGAATATTTGTTTTATCAGTGTTTTCGCAAACAATGTGAACCATTACCTTTTTATATTAACAGAAGTGCACTGTATTGGTTGATTGAAACACCAGAAGTTCAATTGCTTAAACTTAATAGATTCAATCTAATGTTGCACAACCAAATGAAAATTGCTCTGCTTCCATTAGAATTTTATGTTTAGGCTGGATTTGAGAAATAATTTTTCATCATTGGCTTTAATAGTCAAGTTAGTGGATATATATTAAACTATTTGGATTTTGAGTGGACATCCTACAATACCTTTTTAATACAAGAAAATTTGTAAAAAATTAACTAGGAATTTTTTTAACTCCAGAAAATTTTTAAACAGTCAGCATAATATTACTGTTTTCATTAAATCCTCAAATTAACAAAATAATTGCCCACTTAGGAACTAGAATTTTGTTATTTTGAAATTATTCAATTGGGTCGTGGGTAATTTATTTTGGTTTTCTGTTGTTTGGGTATATAATATTTGTGGTAATCACAAAGAAAGTTCCCCTATTCGACACGTAGTCCAAATTTGACCAAATCTTTCAGGACATGTGGATGAATTTAATTGGAAACTTCCTCCTACTGGACTTCGGCACAGCAAGCTGCAAACCTCCTCAACACGTTTTCTTAAGGTGCACTTTGTGGCATCGGTCGGCTTTGCAAGAAATGCATATTTGGGCACACGTTTATTACTGCATTCTTATGCCCAGAAATTTTTCCACTTATGTTGCTGGAAGTTCTCCAGTGGCAAGATATTAGGAAAATTTCTTCTGCCCACAGAAACAGAAGCATGCAAAATTAGGACAAGGTTGAACTGCTATATATTCCCTTAATCTATTATGTATAGAATTAGTTAAATAAAACTGTACACGATGTAATACTCGTCAAAGGTGCTTGCGATATAAGAAAATTGTGTTGACGCCAAGCTCAGTGCTTGTTATCAAGAGGATTCCCTTAATCTTGTAGTTAAATAAACACTCAGTTGATCATTATCATGTTTAAATAAAGCATAACTAGTGCCACTATGATTGCCTGCCACGTTACCACTTCTTTTGACTTTTCTCAAATAATGCTCAATGCTAACAGGAATTGCACTGCTAACAAATGCTCATTTAAGGGAGAATCCCACTTCAAAGTACAAGTGTTGAGGTGTGAAGTAATAAGCATATTGTCGTTGTAAAAATGGCATTTTTACAATTTTAAAATAATCTTTAATAGCATGTTACTTCACTCAAACAGAATATATTCACAGCAAATTTACTTTTTGTTGATAAAATCAAAAAAATAATGTTTCAGTTGGAATTATAAAGTGGTTACAAAATGGGTAGGATCCTTCAATTACTAGAGTATTGCATTTCTGAACCAGACACTTTTTCTATATTTTGGAATAGAAAAGAAAATCGATGTGATGTTTTTATTTGAAGATTTGATCTCCGAATTTGACAAGAATTTAAAAAAAAAAAAAAAAACACACATCATTAGTGTTTCTGCAAAGACTAGTTGGAATGGATATTTTAGAAATGATTTATCACAAATTAATACAGTATTTAGAAAATAGGAAGACTGTCGGACTCTCAAGGAGGATCCTTTTCACAACTTCTTTTCGCCCACTTCTTGTATTCCGCATATCATATTGGCCGGAACTGCTACGTCTGAAAGAGAAAATTTTTGGTTTTACCATAACAAATTAGTTCTTCTGGTAGGAATTTTGAAATCAAAAGTTACAAATGATGGTTCTTTGGTTACAGAATTTCAATCTAAAACAACAAGTGTCAATTTTTATTTTATTTTTGGTGCCAAGGAATAATTCAAGTTCAAAAAAGTGTACTTGTCAAATAGTCCACAATATTTAAGGCCTATTGTAAAAGAAAACAGTTTCAGTAAATAGTTTCATGGAAGTCTAGGCAATTAATTGCAAAACCAAAACCAGAAGAGGAAGAATGTCAACACTTAGGCTGTGTACACATTAGGCGTTTTTAAACGCGCATTTTAAAGAACCAAGAGTTCTTCATAGGTATACGTACTCAAATGCATGCTTCTGGCCAAGTGCACGTTGATAGATTTTTGTTAGAACATGCGCTTTCGGGTGGAGTGGACATACATTGGCCGAAATGGAGAACGATCATTTTGATACTGATCTATTTATTGATGAAATCTAAAAGAGACCAGCCATTGTCAAAGGATTTTATAGATATTTTAAAAGAATTAAAAAACTTAGGTTTATTTTGTCTTAGTTTTGGATACAACATCACAAACATTCCATGTGTCAATCTATCTCGTAATATTGGGTGCACCCAAAATTCTCTTTGCCTCTGCCATCGTCTTTTATAGCGATGATGGAGGAGGCACACACAAGCAATTACTTTCACGTCCATTTCCAAACTGAGCCAGTGCTCACACTCCACTAAACGGTCGTCGAACGCTGAGCTAATGCACGGTGTGTACGCTACTGACGTGCGTTTAACACAATGCAAAACGCCTAATGTGTACACAGCCTTACATTAGTAAAGCAAAGAAATTTGCATATTTATCACATGTTCCCCCTTAAATTTAAGAAAAATTATCTGTGCAATCCACAAAAACCTCAGTAAAATGAATTCAAGGAAAGGGTGTATCTTCCTACAGCAAAGCTGAATTATAGTGCTTAAACAACGTTTGAATTTTCTGAACAAATCATGCAATCATACAGCACATTTCAAAATAACATGTGAGGGTCATTCTATCAGGAATACAATATTACCAGTAGTCAAACTTCAGGATACTCTCCCCTGCCAGGTGGCAGGCAGTCAAAGTTGTAAAACAAAATGCAAAAATGGTTACCAGTGGAGAGGAAAAAGCAGTTTCATGTGAAATCAGTGTTGAATGTGCAATGCTACTTTCGTAAAGAACATTCAAAAAAGTAAGCTGACGACATTGCATGTGGCCCATACATGACATTTTTCCTACATAAAATTACTCTGACGTTGAAGTATGCTGAACAGTAAGTACCCAACTGACACACATCGTGTACTGTGCTTGCCAAACAAAAATGTCACCATAGGAAGCCATAGACCTTAAGAGCAAAGTTTGTGCAAGAGATTTGTCACATTTTCCCCCCAAAGATGCAACTTGCTTTTTGAATGTCCCTTGTACCAGCAAACGGCCTGTCTTTATAAGGGTAAATTTGTCAGGCAGACCTCTAACTTCTGAGGCTGAAGTGGAGAGAATCTGGAAATATTTTCAAAACTTGGTACATGTTACAAGTTTGAATGTATGGGAAATTATTAGTTGCCTACACATTAAATGCAAGAATACAAGTCAATATAGTGGTTTGTCTGCTTTGTAGTTATGAACTAGGTATAATTTTTTAAACATTTTTGGTTTTTTCAATGATTTATTAAAAACTAGCAGATAAGTCCAGCATTGCCTGAGTAAAAATAACATTAGAATAATGAAATAATTGTAGTATTTGCTTTATATAAGGGTTTTATCACACAGTGACCAATCTTAACACATTTAAATTCTTCATTCATCACTCAGTGTGACAAACCCTTACGTAAGATTGTAGTTTTATAAATCAAATACAGTAGATCCCCCTATAAGACGGTAGATACGTTCCGTTCTTTATGAATCAATTTTGTAGGAATCACAGTTTACGGACTACGACTGTTTGAAAGGTTTTCTTCCATAAAATTAATCAATTCTAGACTAATTCGACTCAACATTTCCAAAATACGTATATTTTTTTGGAAATAATCCATATAAACTACGTTGTAAACAAAAAATTGTAGGATTACTTACCGAGTGTGCACCGTTCGCCTACTCCCGTTGCTAAAGCTTGTTTTCGTCGCGGAACAGCGCATCAAACTGTGGCCGCGATTTCTGATATTATTTTTCTGTGAAAACTTCGTTGACCTTTGGAGACATCATTAATATAAATAATTTTTATGGCCGTTGAAAAGAAATGTTTCTTTCACAAGAAACGTATAAAATTACAGTGCTATATTAGACTTATGGTACCTAATTTACATACTGTACAGACGATAGCTAGCCTAAACTCTCTGTAGAGCCACTAGACGGCAAAAAATATATATATAATTATAATAAAGTTACAATAAATTAAGTTTATATATAAATTAGGTACTATAATTATATTCAATTTACCCACCTAAACGTCCGTAGCGCCACGCTACGGGCGGCAGGAAAGTAGTTCGGCTGCCCGATGACGTTTTACGTAATTATAGGAGTTTTTTTACCGTTGTGTACAGATACCGCCACAATTTTTTTGCTGTCTTATAGGAATCATAACTATAGGAAACAGTTTTATAGGGGGATCTACTGTACTATAAGGTTATATGGTTATAATATATAACAAACATTAAAATGAAAGTTTGATTATTTAGCCTACCATTGTCATGTTTATTGCAATACTTGGATGATACGAAATGGCACTTTCAATGGTCACTATACAAATTTTTTCAGATACCTTAGGCATTGAAAATATGGTATTGTAATTTTTTTCTAATGTTATCTCTAAGAAACTACCATTTGATGTTCGGCTGTGAATGGTAATCTGCCAACCAATCAAATTTCGCAAAAAAATGGACCAAATATTTAAACTTGGTCACAAAATAAGTGGTTTTTGAGGGAAAACCACTTATTTTGTGACCAAGGGTAACTATGTAATTTAGTATTATGTAATTTTCCTATTCGAATGCCACCATATTACTGGTTCAACAGAAACAAGGGATTGTTGCAGAAGGGGTCAAAGTAATTAAACGAAAAGTAGTAGTTGACCTCCTACCAGAAGAAAGGATGCTCAATGACTACTAATTAATACTGGTCTACTGTCAATATTTGAAAAATAATCCATGTTGGGTAAGTTGTGATAGCACATGATCGAAGTCCCTAACCTTAACATTGGAAAGACTTCGTATGAGTTAAAAATGCTAAAATAAATAAATCGTAAATTATCAAAAAATCTTGTTATAAAATTAACTAACACTTTATTATCAATCTGTTGCAAAAATATAATGTGGGAAGTATGTTTTCATAAAAACATATTGCATTATAGCATTGCATTTATAGAAAAATTATTAGAATTAGTTTGGTTTATTTGTTATGGCAACACATCTCAAAGACTTATGTGAAGCTGGTCCCTATTTAGGTGTTACTAACGAAGAAAACCCGGAAAACTCCTTGTGGCCAGCCCATTGGTAATGCCCAAACCAACAACTATCAGTGTTCGATGGTTTTATCCACTCAGCTACTGCAGTGCACTTATTAGAATTAAGAAAGTATCATCCAGAAACAAAAAAACCCAAGTTGTTAGACATGGAAAATTAAGTGTTACCCTGTGAAAAGTATTTGATTCCACACTGGCAAGTGTTATATGGTACCTGTCACAATATGTGTCAGCAGTGATATAGCATGGATATTATAATTATAAATTTAAAAAATTTAAAAATTATAATAAATATATTTCTTAAATTTTTTGCCACTAGATGCACTACATATAAACCCAACAAATTAATTCAATAAATATTTTGGATGATATTATCTAAGTATGTGAAGGTAACTGCCAAGTTTTGTAGCAATTGGTCAAATGGCCTAGGTGTCATTTATGCCGACTTAGATTAAATCTAAGTTGTCACAAATGCAAGAATACAGAACATCTTCCACACATTAAATGCTGTTGTCATAACCATTTTGTATGGTGAAAGTTTAATTAATTAAAGGTCATATTAAAACGGCTGGCAAATCACCCTTCTAAGTTTCTTGTCATTACAGTTCTTGATGAATGAATAACTCAGGAAAGGGTTATAGCTTCTTGGTACAATAAGCATAATTCCAACAACACTGAAGTTTAATAATCTGAATCTGATTAAGCTGCCAATCACCACTTATCATCATACAGATAGGTGTTGAAAATAGGAATAGTGAGGACAGTACTCTAAGGACAAAATTTGTCATCTGAGAGAGTTTGAACTTATTCTTTGTTTTTGTTTTGAAATATTTTGTATGTAATTAATTGTTACAATGTACTGCATTCAAAACTTTGAATTTTTGTACGGTTGGTTATGGAGGACAGCATCTACTGTTCACAGGTAAATATAATAGATGTCCTATTTGAAGGGTCTGGGATTGTAAAAATGTCCATTTCTAGTGGTGCAGATACCACTAGTTAATGAACACTTCTGAATAGCAGAAAAATGTCCATTAACTGTATAAGAAGTAAATTATTGTTGCAAAATTGTAGATAAATATCACATTAACTTGATGGGTGAAATTGTTAACCATATTTACTGAGCTCGTAATCTGAATTTCAACAGAAATTAAGAATACATTCTGACGAAGAAGATAAAGCTCTGGCTCCAGCAATGGCCTACAGGGAAGGATCTGTTGTGAGAAGAGACTCAATTGTGGAACTTTTTCATCATGATGTGAACATGTATTGTTTGTTGAAATTTTCTTACTTTCTAGTCAAATCTGGTATGTCTTTGCTCATTAATTAATTATCTCTACAATTGTTAAATAATTGTTTGTTTTGGTATAACAGCCAAAGTTTTGATGAATGCAATTACAATAAATGCAAACAATAATCTTACCAATCATCTTTGGATATGCAAGATTTAAGTTTTTCATTAATTCAACAAATTCTTCTTTGCTTTTGTTCAGTCGAGGATTCCACTGTTTTTCCTCTTTAACTGTAGTTGACGTTAAACCTAATATCATACATAAATTCAAATTATTAATTAATTTTATTGTAAGAACAATTTATGTAGAGTTTTTGTAATCAATTATTTTACAACTCACCATTATAATCATGTGCAGGAAATAATGTGTAATCATCAGGCAATGAAAGAATTTGTGTATGTACTGAATTATATAACTTCTCTGAAGAACCTATGGATGGAATTTCAATTAATGCCTTTTAAATTATAAATATACTAATGATAAGATAGGGGCTGAAGAAAAGTTTTCAATGGTATTATTAAATTTTGACTAAATAATTATGTAGTTAATAAAACTTCAATCAAAAGCACAAGTTTTACTTTTGGTTTTAGAAACTTGAAAGAAATTAAGAATGCAGATTACTCAAAAATCAAACTACATTAAATAAACAGTTCAATTTGTGGAACTATATACAGTAGAGCGTCGTTTATCCGAAACGTCGGTTATCCGAAGGAATTCCAGTCGACAAATTTAAATTTTCGCCAGTGCTGTGGCGCTGTAATCTTTGGCTATGACTTCGGCTACTCAAATATTTTACGTTTTTGATACGACAACGCGAAGCGACACGCAACAGAGAAAAATTTCAACACGGGATAAATTAATATATTTTTTTCGTACATAATTGGTCATCCGAAAAATAAGTTATCCGAACAACCCCAGTCCCCAATTGATTCGGATAAATGACGCTCTACTGTATTAATAAATTGTTAGGTTAGTAAATAAATAGATTAGTGTTGTCGTTATTTGCTAATAAGTAAAAATATTTTCATTTCTGAATGATTACATATGACATAAAAAATGTACAAATAATTTCTGTAATTTTTTTTTTATAAACTAGAAAAATTATGTTAACTTATGAACAGAATTCTAATATTGTTAGGTATATTTCTTAGTTTGACATTTTCTTTTCAAATTCTGATTTAGAATATTAACATAAATAATCATAATTTTTGTTACAAAGAACATTTTTTCTTTATAAGATATTAATAAAACTTTAAAAACACCATAATATGAAATTTTAAACACAGCAGCTTATTTAATATATCTTTATCCGCTTTTGTTAACAGAAGCAATTCATCTAGTCTAACATCTTACTTGTTAGTATCAATATGTCCTTGTAGCCTCCCAGATGATAGCCAAAGGAACAAAGTTTTTCATTTCTATGGAGAGTTTATTTTTCAATTTCAAAAAGAGTTGTTAACATATGTCCAATGGTCCAATAATCCAAATTTATCATCATAAATATTTTTAAAAAAAAGTCCTTACTAATTATTCAAATATTTTTAAGTTAGCCCCACCCTTTGGGTTCTTCAGGATCCATTACTACTGTCAAGAATCTAACTTAAATAAAGCATCATTTGCAAAACTCAGCCAAACAATTAATATTTAGTTAGCTATGTGAAAAGATATCTTAAGGTTACCGATAATTCACTAATTCAGTGTAATATAAAATATTTCTATTAGATCTTTATTTAAAAATAATTAAGTATATTGGCAAAAGTGCATGTTTTGGAAAATATATTTACTTGTCTTAATTTATATGATTATTTACAATACAAAATAGCCCCGAAAAACTAATTATTAGAAAATACCTTTACTTATCAATCAATCAACAATTTTTATTTTTAATATATTAAAAAGCTTCTTGGGTATATTACTAATTTACAAAAAATAGTTAGCTATAACCAATTAATCAGGCCTATTATATTCACAACAAATTTAATTATATTATTTTGGAAAGAATTAAATTTACTATGAGTATCTATAATATAGTGATAGACAGCACGCTAATCATTTGTTACGAAAAACTTTTAACATATAAGTGTTAAATTATATATGTATGTCACTAAATTGACAAGCGCTTTCGACGATACACACTTTCGTCTTCTTCAGGTCATTAGAAGATATAAGATCCTTTTTTGAATACAAAAATTTTTAAAAGATTCCAATCATAATTAACATTTTGGAATAACAGCAACGGTAGAACATAAGATATTTAAACAAAAACACGCGCGTTTATAATGCACATGCGTTAGACGCCTCTATATTGTGGATTTAGTTGCAATGTTTTATATAGCTGTACAAATTGATCCACAAAGGGGGCAAATCAAGTTGCTATGAGTATATAATAAGCCTGATATGTTATTCTATGTTTTTTGTAAATTTGTTTTTAATAATTTAGTATTAATCCTATATAACTCTTACTCATTAAATAAAAAAATTTGACAAAAATTTCTGAGAGGTATCTTTAAAAACAAATTCTCACATTCTGACTTGTTAATTATAATTCATTTGTGGCAGTCCAAAATTTCTAGATGCTCAGTGATAATTTTAATATTCAAATTTGAAGGAAAGGAAAATAAACAAAATCGCTACAGTAAAATACAGTACAAATTTATTATGGAAATCATTCATAAAAGAAGCATTTTACTAAAACAACACTTAAAAAAAATTATTCTTTCATTTTGATGGCTTCATGTGCTTCTGATGCATTATCTTGTAGATGGATCACTCAAAAAAAATCTGTAGAAATTCTATTGAAATAATTTCTACAGATTTTTTGCTTGTGAGATTTAAGAAACTTATAATCTCAAAGCAAAGAACATATGAAACTTCTTTTAAACATGAATGAAATTCAAAGGAGTTTTAAAAAGCCTAGATCCTCAGATCATGTGGATTTCTTTGAAGTCCAAATTTCAGACTCTTGATTTAAAAAAAAAAAAAAAATAGTACAGTAGAACCTCGAAAACTCAGCCTAATGTGGACCGAAGGGTGGCCGAGTTTGTGAAAATGCCGGGTTATCGAGAATGGGGTTAAAAAAAAATAAGTACAAGTGTTTCCTCAGAAAATACTGTACTGTACTTGTATGTATTGTTTACTTGAGAATATAACTGAGAATAAACTGCCCAAATACCCTTAAACAAAGGAAAAGTACATCCTTTATGAAGGCATAGAGCCTTTACTACATGAAAATGAAAATTAATGAATACACTGTGTACAGTAATTTACCTGATAAGACAGACCTCAGAAAAATACTTTATGAGAGCTTTTATACTTTTATAAAGCTGTCTATAATGAAAATTAATTAACTAANAAAAAAAAAAAAAAAAAAAAAAAAAAAAAAAAAAAAAAAAAAAAAAAAAAAAAAAAAAAAAAAAAAAAAAAAAAAAAAAAAAAAAAAAAAAAAAAAAAAAAAAAAAAAAAAAAAAAAAAAAAAAAAAAAAAAAAAAAAAAAAAAAAAAAAAAAAAAAAAAAAAAAAAAAAAAAAAAAAAAAAAAAAAAAAAAAAAAAAAAAAAAAAAAAAAAAAAAAAAAAAAAAAAAAAAAAAAAAAAAAAAAAAAAAAAAAAAAAAAAAAAAAAAAAAAAAAAAAAAAAAAAAAAAAAAAAAAAAAAAAAAAAAAAAAAAAAAAAAAAAAAAAAAAAAAAAAAAAAAAAAAAAAAAAAAAAAAAAAAAAAAAAAAAAAAAAAAAAAAAAAAAAAAAAAAAAAAAAAAAAAAAAAAAAAAAAAAAAAAAAAAAAAAAAAAAAAAAAAAAAAAAAAAAAAAAAAAAAAAAAAAAAAAAAAAAAAAAAAAAAAAAAAAAAAAAAAAAAAAAAAAAAAAAAAAAAAAAAAAAAAAAAAAAAAAAAAAAAAAAAAAAAAAAAAAAAAAAAAAAAAAAAAAAAAAAAAAAAAAAAAAAAAAAAAAAAAAAAAAAAAAAAAAAAAAAAAAAAAAAAAAAAAAAAAAAAAAAAAAAAAAAAAAAAAAAAAAAAAAAAAAAAAAAAAAAAAAAAAAAAAAAAAAAAAAAAAAAAAAAAAAAAAAAAAAAAAAAAAAAAAAAAAAAAAAAAAAAAAAAAAAAAAAAAAAAAAAAAAAAAAAAAAAAAAAAAAAAAAAAAAAAAAAAAAAAAAAAAAAAAAAAAAAAAAAAAAAAAAAAAAAAAAAAAAAAAAAAAAAAAAAAAAAAAAAAAAAAAAAAAAAAAAAAAAAAAAAAAAAAAAAAAAAAAAAAAAAAAAAAAAAAAAAAAAAAAAAAAAAAAAAAAAAAAAAAAAAAAAAAAAAAAAAAAAAAAAAAAAAAAAAAAAAAAAAAAAAAAAAAAAAAAAAAAAAAAAAAAAAAAAAAAAAAAAAAAAAAAAAAAAAAAAAAAAAAAAAAAAAAAAAAAAAAAAAAAAAAAAAAAAAAAAAAAAAAAAAAAAAAAAAAAAAAAAAAAAAAAAAAAAAAAAAAAAAAAAAAAAAAAAAAAAAAAAAAAAAAAAAAAAAAAAAAAAAAAAAAAAAAAAAAAAAAAAAAAAAAAAAAAAAAAAAAAAAAAAAAAAAAAAAAAAAAAAAAAAAAAAAAAAAAAAAAAAAAAAAAAAAAAAAAAAAAAAAAAAAAAAAAAAAAAAAAAAAAAAAAAAAAAAAAAAAAAAAAAAAAAAAAAAAAAAAAAAAAAAAAAAAAAAAAAAAAAAAAAAAAAAAAAAAAAAAAAAAAAAAAAAAAAAAAAAAAAAAAAAAAAAAAAAAAAAAAAAAAAAAAAAAAAAAAAAAAAAAAAAAAAAAAAAAAAAAAAAAAAAAAAAAAAAAAAAAAAAAAAAAAAAAAAAAAAAAAAAAAAAAAAAAAAAAAAAAAAAAAAAAAAAAAAAAAAAAAAAAAAAAAAAAAAAAAAAAAAAAAAAAAAAAAAAAAAAAAAAAAAAAAAAAAAAAAAAAAAAAAAAAAAAAAAAAAAAAAAAAAAAAAAAAAAAAAAAAAAAAAAAAAAAAAAAAAAAAAAAAAAAAAAAAAAAAAAAAAAAAAAAAAAAAAAAAAAAAAAAAAAAAAAAAAAAAAAAAAAAAAAAAAAAAAAAAAAAAAAAAAAAAAAAAAAAAAAAAAAAAAAAAAAAAAAAAAAAAAAAAAAAAAAAAAAAAAAAAAAAAAAAAAAAAAAAAAAAAAAAAAAAAAAAAAAAAAAAAAAAAAAAAAAAAAAAAAAAAAAAAAAAAAAAAAAAAAAAAAAAAAAAAAAAAAAAAAAAAAAAAAAAAAAAAAAAAAAAAAAAAAAAAAAAAAAAAAAAAAAAAAAAAAAAAAAAAAAAAAAAAAAAAAAAAAAAAAAAAAAAAAAAAAAAAAAAAAAAAAAAAAAAAAAAAAAAAAAAAAAAAAAAAAAAAAAAAAAAAAAAAAAAAAAAAAAAAAAAAAAAAAAAAAAAAAAAAAAAAAAAAAAAAAAAAAAAAAAAAAAAAAAAAAA